AACAGAAAACTATTTAAATCTGTCAATCAGCTCTGGCCGGTTTGGCTCAGTGGTTGGAGCGTCAGCCTGTAGACCAGAGAGTCCCAGGTTTGGTTCCCGCTAGGGGCATGTACCAAAAAAATAATAAATAAATAAATAAATAAATAAATAAATAAATAAATAAATAAATCTGTCAATCATAGAAATATGTATTATCTCACTGAACTAGCAGTCTGGAGATAGGTGGTTCCAGGGTTCTTTCAGGAGCTCATGAGTATCATCAAGGACCCAGATGCTTCTCATTTTCCCATGCCATCATCCTTAGCATTTTGGTTTTTATTCCCATGTCTTTTGCCTCGTGGTTGCAAAATGGCTGCTGTAACACCAGACATCACATTCTCACCCTGTGCTTAAATGTAAGAATCAAGAGTATAGCAAAAGATATTCTTATCTTAGAGGACTCTGTCCCTTATCCAGGAAAGAAACATTTCAGGAAGTCTTCCTTATGGCCTCATGTTAGAACTGGAGCACATGGGTGCTCCTAGTTACAAGGAAGGCTATGAAAGTCTCTCCCTTTTAAGCCTCTAGTTAAAATCAGGCTCCTCATTTGTAAGAAGCAAATGAAATAGTGTCCTGTGGTCTACCTCCCAAAATCTCTTTTGTATACATCCAATTCTCTTCACCTCACCAGTGACATCACTCCTATACAAGCCATCGAAATACCCCACCTGGACTACTCCAACAGTTCCAACTGGTTTCCCTGTAGCCCCTCTTAACAGCTACAGTGATATTTTAAATGCAAATCTTGTCATGTCACTCCCTCTTCAATGGATTATGTTCAAAACTCCTACCATGACTGACAAGGTCCTGAATGGTCTGGTCACAACACTCGCTTTCCAGCTTCATATCCCACAGTGCTGCAGTGCACTCTGTTTACTCCAACGACACTGGCCTTTTCTCTGCTGCTCAAAAATCCTAAGTGCTTTCATGTCCCGAGGCTTCTGCACATGCTATTCCCTCCGTCTGGAATGCTCACCCATCCTCTTCCTCCCTGGTTCCTCTGCCTGATTTTTCCTTTGCTTTCGTATCTGCATGTAAGTGTCACTACATGCAAGGGTTATCTGTGAGGTGTTTCTGTTAACAAAACATAACAAATATCAGCCTTGTTAAATATAAATGGGAAGGATGGGAAAGAATGAAGTTTTTATTTCAGCAGTTAGTAGATGATCATTTATTAAGTAAACGCTGGCCCCTTTGTTAAATCACGCTAGATAAGGAGCCAGCCACTTGGCAGTACTAATTTTTTCCCTAAATGTCTTCATTCTCTCACACATTGGGTCAACAATGCAGCAACCTAGCTCCATAGCTTCCTAGGGTGATGATACCTCTGACCAGGGCCTTCCTCCTTGGTCCACTGTCTTCACCTGTGAGGAGGTGGCACTATGATGACCTGTCCCATCCTGCCTCACAGCTGGCAGCCTGTCTTTGTTCAGTCCTGGTGCTAGCATCAAACATATACTCTCTAAAATGAATCTCAATCATAAATTAAAATGCATCCTTTTCAAATACACACTGCTGCGCATTATCTTTTTAAAATCCAACAATGCTAAACTAAAAAGTTAATGATATAAAGTATTTATATTTTTATCATATCCCATGCAGTGAAATACTCTATACAGATTTCTTTCTACTAATTCTATGTCTTTCACTACTTTCATACCCCAGAAAGTCCCCAGGACAGAGATGCTCAGACGTCAGCTGCTTCTCACTCAGCCTCCAGAGGAATTATACACGCGCTCAAGGAACATCAAAGTGGTTCTTTGAAACAGAAGAGCATCCAGGAAGACCAAGCAGACTGCACGTCTGACTTCATTAGAGAAAATGCGCTATGTCAATACCTTCCTGTACAATGAAAACAAATAAGCAACATGTGACCAGGAGCTAAAAAGCCTCTTGAACCTTGACATCATCCACTGGTCCGCTTCCTGCAGCGGCCAGGGACTGGATCTGTACTAGGGAAGGGAGTGGGGAGTGTTTGCTACGCATTAGGTTTCCAGACCTGAGAGATGTCACATCCTCAGTTAAGAGCTCAAAACAGGCAGGTTGCAGTATAACGTGCCGGTTAAGACCTCGGGAGCTGGAGTCAGACCTCCTGGCTTCAGATCCGATCCTGCCTTGTACCAGCCTTGCCACCACGGGCAACCACTGGACCTTTGCGGGGCTAGGGTCTGCTTACCTGTCTAGTGAGGATAAAAATAGTACCTACCTCCTAGGGTTGCTGTGAGTAATAAGTGAGTTAATCCACAGAAGCGCTTGGAACAGCACCTGGCTGGCTCACAGCGAACTGTTAATATTACAATCTTTCAACTAAAAGCGCTTTAGACTGCAACCTTCTGTCTGGATATGAAACAGCTCTCCCGCGAGTTAACAAAACTTGCGACTGGAGCTGAGTGGCCGTGACTGGCGGCCCGAGAGGAAGGGAGAAGCAAATCAGGGTAGAAGCAGAGGGAGGGCTGCGGCCACATCTAGCCACGCGAGCCCACCTGCAGCCTCCTCTCCCGGCCTTCGGTCTCCTCCACCGGCTCGTCTCTTCTTCCCGAAGGAGTCGACCCGCCAGCCGAGCAGCACAGCCTTTCTCCAATCAGACCTCCCAAGGCTGGCGCCACGCCTGCGACCTGGTCCAATCTCGTCCCCCGGAGGGCGGAAATGCAAAGTTCCTACCTGCACCTGTGGCAGCGGGGGCTGCCTCCTGTTGTGTTTTCTTCCCGCTGCCCCGGGGCTTCAGGTGACTGGAATCACTTGGTGAATGACCAGCAGGTGGGCAGATGTCCTTTCCCGCTCCGAGGACCGACGCATAGGAAGGGTCAACGCATCAGAGTGAGCAGCCGTGTCCCATCTCCCGGCGGCCCCCCTGGCGCCGGCAGGGAAGAGAGACGCCCGAGAATGATCGGCTACTAACCTAGAGAGCAGCTCGGGCTTTCACCCGGGGCTTGGAGCCGGGCACCCGCTTGCCCCGGGCCGCCGCCGCCGCTGCCGTTGGAGGTGCCAGGGGAAACCACGAAGGGCAGCCCGCCTCGCTGGACTGCGGAGATTTCCGCGGCACACCTGCCGGGAAGAAGCCGGACCTCCCCAGGACCGCGCGGAGGGACGCGGCACCGGCTCCCAGGTTGTCCCCAGAGCACTCCTTTCGCGTCGTCCCTGGCAAGCGGAGCGGCGGGGGTCCTGAGCAGGTGAGCAATCAGGTTGGTTCTGCAGCTGCCAAGACAGAGCCGGTTCCCGGGTCTCACCCTTGGGGGCTCCTCTGGCTCCCGAAGAGAAGTTGCGAGCCGCAGGCGCTTTGTGTCTATTTGTGTAATTTGCGATCTTTTCCTTGAGCAATTCGTGCAAAACCCTTCTGCGCACACAGGTTACTGCAGAGAGGAAAGTGTAGGGTAGAAGACAGAACGTAGTCTCGGGACACATCACCACCACCACCAGTGAATAACTGGGGGAGCTTTTCCGATCTGTAAAGTCGAGGGAACAGGATGTTTGCACACCCGACTGCAAACTTTGCCTGAGGGTGTGGGTATGGAAACATTTTTTGGCCTTTTTTTTTTTCCTATTGTTTTCAAGTCGCGGCAGGAGTGTGCCCTCCGGCGTCCCGGGGAGGGGCGGGTTGAGGTCTAGGTGCACACCGAGACCAATGCGACGCCTCGCGTGGGCGCTCAGACTTTCCCTCCCAGTCCGGGAGGACACCTTCCAACAACAAAGTCGGCTGAAGTTTAGCTCTAAAGGGTGCAGGCAAATCCCAGGCGCGCGGGGAGCGTGGGACGGGAAGGAGCCCAGCGGAAGCCTGGAAATGAGCCGTGGCACCAGCGAATCCTGAACGTTCGTGGAGTTAGGGCCGGACAGACCCAGCACAGACAGTGGGCAGAGGACTCTAGCTTCCGAGATTATTAGCACCTCAAGTGCCGAAAACATCCTTGTCGCTCCGCAGAATGCACGTTTTAAAGCTGGGAAGACGTACATTGGTATGGAGTTCCTTGTTGCTCTCTCCTTGCAGGAGGGAATTGCGCAAGAAAAGGAACAGAAGCCTTTAATTTGTAACTAAAATTCTCCAGACTTGAGTTCCTAGTATAAACAGACTCGGGGCCTGTTTTAATACAGAACCAGGGAAAGCGGACGTTTGCAGTGTGGCCTCATCTCAGCCATCATCCGGGGGTGGCCTCGAGGAGATGCAAGATCGGTTTCTGGGGAATAAAACGAAGAGTGGGCTGGTGGTTTTCAAGGGAAGTTAAGCCTAGTCATACTTCTCTGAAAGTCACAAGGCAGAAGTTATGTCAAAAGCAGAAATTAAAAGAAAACACCAAGAGCCTGTGCCTCGCTGTGCCTGGCTTGTAAATTACCTTCAAGAATCATCGAAAAGGATCCTGGGACCGAAGTCTATGGGGCAAACCTTTGGCAGGGGTCAAACAGTCGTTGTTCACCTATAGCGGGGACGCACGCACTTGCTTCCTGGCCCTGTCCTCCCAGGTGCTCGTCCAAGAGAAGGCCTTTCTGCACCGGGTGGGTCACCCTGGGGCGTCCGTCTACAATCAGGCCGAGTGACGGGACGAGCCATTTTCCCTCTTAGAGTCAGTTAGCCCAGATGCCAGGGAACCTCCCCTGGGTGCCCCTCGCACGCTGACCGCTACTCTTCCTGCTACTGGAGGCAGGGCGAAGGTTGAGGCAGGCGGGGGAGTGCCAAGACTCCGTCTGGTGACCAGACGGTGGCGCCCTGGAGGCCACTTGTCAGCTGGTGCCCTTGCCGGCTCGGCGGCTTGGCGGTGTCTTCTAAGGACCTCGCATCTCTGGGTTCTGGGCTCCCCGCGCTCAGACCCCGGCGGATCCGGAGTCGCGTGGAGCAAAGGGGAGGAAAAGGGATTGAGGGGTGGAGGTGGGGGCGTCGTAGGGTATGACTTCGACAACCTCAGTAACCAAGTTCGTCTTCTCCCCCAGCACAGACCGCTGCCTCGGGTCCCACGCGCAGCCGAATTGCGAGAAGCGGGAGAAGTTGCGGAGTGAACCCCGGAGACCACCCGGAGAGAGGGGCCTTCCCCACGCGCGACGCCCCGGCCCCGGGCCAGCCGGCCATGGCCGACAGCAGCGGCAAGGGCAGCTCCGGCCCCTGGTGGAAATCGCTCACGAACAGCAGGAAGAAAAGCAAGGAGGCCACGGTGGTGGCGCAGCCTCCCGCCCAACCTGCGCCCGCGGAGCCCGCGCCGCCCGCGCCGCCCAGCCCGGACTGGACTGCCAGCTCCCGGGAGAATCAGCACCCCAACCTCCTCGCGAGCGCCGGGGACCCCTACAGGGCAGACAAGTTGTGCGCGGAGAAATCGGGCAACAGCCGCCGCAACCTGAAGATCTCACGCTCCGGGCGCTTTAAGGAGAAGAGGAAAGTTCGAGCCACCCTGCTCCCCGAGGGAGTCAGGTCCCCGGAGGAGGCGGGGTTCCCCAGCGACCCCCAGGACGACAAGCAGTAGCCCAGCGGACTGTCTCTCTTCCCAACATGCCTCCCTCGCCTCCAGTTCTAAACCTGAGGACTTCGACCTGCCCCTGCGCTTGGTGGCTCATCCTACCAAATCGCATCTCCGCGCAAGGCCTCCGCGGTTCTCCTTTCCTGGGCACGGAAGTGTCCATCGAGTGTTCAGTATTTCCTGACTCAAGGACGCATTAAATATTTATTTGTGGTAAGAGAAGATACCCGCCACAGAGGACGTTGGCATAATTATTACCTTCAGAAAGCGCATTCTGTGGCCTTTGCCCCTTGTGTCACCTGTGGGAGTGACAGAGGTACTTCTCCAAGAGGTGGTAGCTCCCCTGGAACCGGGCAGCCCCTCCAATGAGGAAGCCCGGCTCTGATAAGAACTGGCTGTTGGAGGGCGGCCCCCGGTGCTGTTTTTAATGCCTGAGACATGCACTTTAGAAGTACTTCTGTAGATGTACACCTTAAGTGAAGGGATGGGAGAGAGCAAGAAACATTCTAAGTAGAAGCATGTTAAGTAAGGCGAGATTGCTTTTGATGTGGACCTACAAAACTGCCCTGCCTATTTTAGTGTGGACTATTAAAATTGTTGCACTGTAAGACTTAAGGTGACTTTTGTACTTTTTCCATTGCGAGACTGAAGCCCATCATACTTAAAAGCAGGTGTGTAAAATCCCAGGTAGCAGAATTAATCATTTGCTACACAATGTAACAGCTACTCTTGGGAAGCTGCAGGGAGAACATTTCTAGAAACTAGCAACACCCAGAGTGGAACCAGTTAGCTAGATATTCCTATTTATTAACCAAATTCCTGGAAGGGAGGGAGAGGGACTCATTAATTATTCCCAGGTTCTCTTTCTGTTTCAGTGCATCTTCATACATGAAGCACAATGCCAGTAATCATTGTTTTCTGTGGCTTTGTGAACCTTACTAACAGTTGTCTGAAAATACTCAAACAGAAGGACTGAACTTAGTTTGTGCAAAGCCAGTTCTTTTCCCACGCCGTTCTTTCAAACCCTTATTTCTTCAGTCTGACGTGTGCATTTATCAAGTTTCAAAGCCTTTAGATCGACCAACCTGAAGATTCTTAACAAAAATCTACCTGTTTGCTTTTGTTATAAACTTCAAGAAAAAGAGTAAATGAATACCACTGGCTTTCAGCAAATTACAGGGAGTTATTGTAGTTGTTAAGGGCCAGTGGGATCTTTTCCCACAACTATTCAGTTCATTTATAAAAATCCAGAAATGCACAGCAGGGGAATTATAATGATCAAGTGTATATTTTTTGAGATAATTATAAACAAGAACTTGATTGGAGCTTCTGATCTTATTATAGGTATATAGAGAGGTATACAGGGTTTCTCTCAAATTTGTAAGTTATAAAATAGCAAACAATGTTGGTTGTCTAAAGAGATTTAACAAAGAAACTTGATGAAAATGGCTAACATTGATTTAAATTAATGGATTGAGCTTGGGTGCCAGCAGAATAATAGGGGTTATCATTTGAGACATGAGTTTCCACATACCAAAGACTTATTCCAAAGAAACTTGTTTATATGGGGATTACAAACAATTCACATTGAAAGAGAAAGTATGTGAGTCTTTTTCTTTTAATCATGGAAAGACTTTTTTTTTTGTTGGTGCATATTTAGAACTGGAAAGTATGTGACCAAAGTCTCATTAGGGCGAGCTTCCTGGATGAGAAAGACTTTTACATCAATTTTCAATTTTCAATGGACCGACCATCTCTGGACTCTGAGGAAGGACTCCAGAAGAGGTTCATGGTAAGGAAGGGGGCTAAGGGAGCACTGGAAATGAATAGACGTTGTCCAATTAAGCTTCAGAACATCTTCATAAAGCATTTAGATTTCATGCTGTGGAAAGTAATAAAAATCAGAGTGGCTAACCATCCAAAATACTTGTCCCTCAGATTAGGTCTTTACCTATTTATAAAATTCAGCCTGCAATTGAATATTTTTAAAATCTTATACTAACTCTTTAACCCACAGATTTAAAGCACTTTTTTTCTTTAAATGTCCTTTAGTTCCACAGAACATTGGCATTTTCCCAGGTTCTGTTTCTTGTCTATACTTGCTGCTGATAATCAATAGCAGACATATAGCAGAGGAATTATTTACAAGGCGTTTCTACCCCACTGTTCTGCAAGAATTTAAAACCATGCTAATGGCAGTTATGACAGTGAGTACAATTCACAATCCGCAGTTGAGGTTTGTAATTACATAGTTTTAAAGCAGTCCTAATCGTGCAGCAGGAGTGCACTGATTTAATCCCAACTCAGTGAAATCAGAAACCAAGCAAAACTGGTGAGATAAAAGGGTCATGAGTAAGATGAGATACTTAGACAAAGTGTCCTGGTGGGATTTATATGATTTAGAGATGATTAATCACATTCCCATAACACGTATACAGATTTAAAAATTTTTAAACCTCAACATCATTTCTCGTAAGTATAGGGAAAGTGTTGAATTAAATTTGGAGTTAATTAGATCAGACACTTGTTTTCTTTAAACCCCCTTACAAATGAAATTCCATCCATAAGTTTGGAAGACCATTAAAGAATTTTAATACCATGTTTCCAAATGATATATTTTTAAAAGGGACAGAAGTCTAGTGGTGTGTTCGCTAAATACTTTCATAACCTCGATAATATATGCACAGGTAGTTTTGCCTCAATGACTCTCCTTGCAAAGTCAGTGGCCAAGCAGTGGCTCATATTACAGGTCACCTGAAAGTCCCTTTGTGCTCCTGCTTCTATTGTTCATCTCATTTTGACTTGCATTTCAAGAGCAGAGACTGTACTTTGCATATACAGTTAAGAGAGTCTGCTTCAGTATAACACTTGGAAATATTTTTTCTGCTGTGAAATATAATGTGAACTCCTCAATGCTGCTCTTGTAGAATTGTTAGAATGGAACTTTAAACATAATGAACAGTGGCATTGGTTAAAGCTTTGTCAGAAATAGTTCTTCTTCTGAGATGCTCAGAAGAGAATGTTGGTACCCTGAGACAAATAAATAATTAAAGCAAAGATATAATAATATTAAATAATCTTTGTATGTGCCTCACATCTTAAAAATGGAATAATAATAATAATTTAAAAATAAACAGAATTTCAAATAAAAGGTGAATTGAAAAGTAAAAGAATGAATGGGACACTGATATTCAGTGACCACAAGGGACTTTTTATGAAAAAGAGAGAGGGAATATTATATTTTCCTAGCTGAAAAGTGTCAGCCAGACTGGAAACAAACACAAATAACTAGTTTGATAGCTGTAGTTAGGAAAACTGATCTTTGAAACGTCTCTTTTATTCGTGGAATATTTTATTATAATTATACAGAAATTAAGGAGATTCTTTCTTGAGATAAACTTGAGTTTATCTCCATGGCAAGTAGAAAGTGGGACCAGAGATATTTTATACCCTCGGGTGTCAGCATACAAGTGCCTCAGACTAGAAACAAGTGTGCAGCCCAGGGCAAACTTTGCCAGCGAGGGCTGCCCCACTGGGGCGATGTCCTTCCTGCCTGTTCTTGTGCTCCCTGGTCCCACTGTCACCGTGCCTCTGAGCCATCACACATGTGTTCCCATTAACCTCACAGACATGGAAAAGCTCCCTGCGTATTGACAAACACTTTGTCCAAATGGGCTTGTACATTTGGAATAGGAGATAATTCCATTCGTGGTGAGAGAACATGATCACTACGGAGCTAAGATGTAAGGAAACTGCACAGGTCTTTTCGTAGCAGAGGACAGTGGACCATCTGGATGGAAGTAGTAATAGACCATGACAGGAAAGACCGACACAGGATGTAAGTGATGCTTCAAGTACCCAAAGCAAGGAATTCAGTGTGCTTCTGAACCAAATCATGTTGCCAATAACAAAATGGTGGTCTCAGAATTTTCAGAGTTATCGATAAAAACCTCATCCAATGAAAAGATTTATGAATGAGATGTGTAATAAGACTGTTTACCATGAGGCAAAAATTTCTGGCCCTCAAATTTAAAAAGTTCATGTTGAAGAAGCTGAAGGGCCCTGGTCCCTGGGAGGAGTTTGTTGAGTAGGGAATGTGAGAGTATTTTGGACCTCTGGGCCTTTTTTGAAGGTATTTTCCTTGAATTACAAGTACCCTGATTATCCTTCTCTTTCCAGTGCCAGTCAACAAGTGTAACCGCTGATTCCTACCCTACAATACTGTTTTCCATGACACCTGATCACCGTTCTCTCTCTGACTAGCTCTTGGAAGAGTCTTAGATAATCTGGGTGTCATTCTTCTTCTGAGAAATGATGGCATGGAGTCTAGGTTCCAGCATCAAAATCCTCTACCTGCATTCTGCTATTTTGAGCAACTGGTTGGGAAAATTCGTTCATATAACACTTATTGTTTACTATAAAACACAAAGTTGTATGAGTCCTGTACTGACAGTCAAGTAGGGAAGCGGAAGGGAGGTCAAGAGGCACACAGTACAATAAGGCTACCTCTTCTGGATGGTGGGTCCTGCCACCACCTCGCTATTCATCCAGCCCAACAATCAGGGCATCAAGCCTCGTTATTCATGTTTAGAATCAAATTGCAGTAAGGATACCTCATTTTAGTATATTAATATTCAAAAAGTATGTTTTCATAACTATTATCTTGGTTGTTCTACAAAACTATCCCTCAAAGACCCCAAATCCTGCCAATCCACCTGATTCTCTACTCTTGTTTAAACTCTATTTTTCCATTCCCATTGGTGTTGTCCGAGGTCAGGAATTCATCTCCTGCAGACACAGGGGCCTGGAGAAAATCATTTCTTAACTCTTCTGCATACTCTGTTTAAAACAGTGCAGGATAAGGTCAAGGGCTACCACCCGTGTCCAGCCATCCCTATGATTGACAGTTCCCCAAGAGTGGCTAGGCTTTGCCACGCCTGCAGGCTTCTGTCCGTCCTATTGCCTCTGCGGGGCATATTCCTTCCTACCACCTGCCTGGCAAAGCC